TTCTAACTGGGTATGTTCACCTGGTGTCTTCGCTACATGAAATTCTTAAATTCAGTCTTGATTTTCAGTTGTTTCTTCTAGGCAAGCAACACATCATTTGCAAACAACTTATTTTGTCCTTTCTAAAAATTATACTCTGCCTTGTTCTGGTGATTCTACCCTTCCACCACTAAGGAGAGAGAGGCTACTGGTTTAGACACTGAACGTTCTATATTAAAGAAAGAGTTTTCATTCACACTTAAAATTTTTAAATCAGACTTTGAAACCCAATGAGAGAACCTTATAATTTTCTTAGTAGCTTCCTGGTATACAGTGAAACAACACCAGGCATATAGTCACATAGATTTAGTCTTTTAATTTACTGTATGTTCAAAGTTGATTTGAATTTTCACATCTACTTTCCTAAGAGATGTTGATGTACAACCATATACCATAAATTCTTACATGAACATTTCACACTTAACATCTTGGAAAGAAAGATGCATTTTACAATCCCTGGTATCCTTTGATTATAACCCACAGCATCCTTTCTCTGGTGCTCCTCACAATCTAGAGCATCTTCACGTCCATGAAATACAGCATTTACCAAGCTTTCTCATCAGGCTTTGGGTTGGCCTATACAGGCGCCATGTAATAAGGAAGATGCCCCTCACCCTTTGTTATGTTTTGTACCAACATCACACAGGGCATTATTTGTTCCGGAAAAACTGAGAGACTTTGCCAATAAAAGCTGGAGTTTGGGGTGGGGAGAAAGAGGAAGGATTAGTTCTTGAGAATCTTCTCACCTATTCCTATGTCAGGTCAAGATTTCTATCCTTGAGTCAAATTTGAGGATTTGCATTTTTTTGGGAAATCACCCATTTCACTAGCATCTCCAAATGCATTTCCTCCGCAATGCATTCCTGGTCTAGCTAGGAGATCATGACTTTGGGCTGTGGGGATGTCAGTCACACCTAATGTCTCTGAATCCCATTTTCCTCATTGTAAAATTGAGGCAGAATCGCTTCTCTCCAATGGGCTGCTTAGGGAAAAGCTGGAAAAAGCCTGGCCTCCAGGTTGGCCGGCATAATACGCGAAATGAACGGTGACTAGTGAGGACGCACCCTCCCCAGAAGTCAAGGTGGGGCTGGAGTCGGGATTGGTGCAGGAGGGTCAATCCAGCGGTGACCCAAACCCCAGCGGCCTGGAGCCCAAGGTGACACGCCCCGACCTCGTAAGACTCCCCAGCGACAGGAAGGCGCCCGCTCGCCAGCGGCCCCCACTCACCGTGCAGGTGGGCTGGGAGGACTGCTCCGAGGCCACCCGCAGCCCGTTGTCCAGCTGGCTAACCTGCGTCTCTGGCAAGCTCTGGAGGGCCTGGGCGAAGGTGGCGGTGCCCCGCAAGGCAGGCGACTTCAGCAGGGCCGGCTGCTGTAACCGGGCGACAGGGACTGAGGACTGCTCTGGGGTATCGCTCCTCAGCTCACAGGCCCGCAGGGGAAGCCCCGGCCCGCCCCCAGGCCGGCCGCGAGACTGCCATCC